CGAACAGACACCAAACAAATATCACTCGCCTTTTCACCCCTTCGCAGCTTCTACTGCCCCCCGATTGGCATAAACAAGGGGTCGGCGGCGTGGCGTAAGCCTAAGAATCAAAGACTGCTGGCACCGCAGATTCCCCCCTCGAGGGGTGGCCAACTCCCCTCTTGGGACACAAACCAGATCCAACCCGCATCCACGGCGTGCCCACTCGACGATGGCGCGCCCCAGGTCGAGACGAGGATGCGTCCCACCCTGAGAGCGCCCCAACAAGGTTTCAAGAGAGAATGGGTCGGGATACGACGGGGCGCGGCTAACATTAGTGCCGCCCACCTTTTGCGTCTATATTCTCGAAGATACCCCAAGAAGGGGCCGCAACGCCTATACTCAAGGGGGGCCCCAGGGAGCCCCAGGGCCAGGGCCTATCAAAGGGCCCCGAGGGCCCAAAGATGGTCCAAAACCAAAATAACGGGGCAGTCTAAGGCGCGAGAAGCCGGTGGGAGACGATTGCAGGGACATTTGACAGGATGCCTGGAAAGCTTGGAAACTCGAGAAAAGAGCTTCGCAGGAGCGCCCGAAGCGCGCCAAAGCAGCTGCGTACAAGCTTCCCGCAAACGAATTGGGAACGGGTCGGAAAACGCTTCTGGGACACGCTGCAAACACAAGCAGGGCGCTGCGGCGCTGCCTGCCCTGCGCCGGAAAGGGCTTCGGGGCCACCCTGCGCTGCCGGCTTCTTCTCTGCAACCCTCCTAGCTCTCAGAGGGCTACCCGGGCATTTCTTCGGCCAACGAGCCTGCCCGCGTTGCAGCATCGCTCCAGCTTCTGTCGCTGCTTATCAAGAGAAGCTCTCAAGGCAACGGTCCACGCGGTCGCGCCCCCGGGGTCTCGACGCCAGGCCGCGCGCCCGGGGTCCCAACCCTGGGCCGCGCCACGGACCACGCGCTCGGATTCCGAGCCGCACGCTGGCTGCCCACCTGGAGAGAAGGCACGCCTGGGAGGCTGGAGAGCTGATCGGAGGCGCTTTGCAGAGGACCCCAAAGACGGTGCCTGGAGAGCTCTCGAGCTCGTGGGTGAGCGCCTCGCACGAGCCTCCGCAGCGCTTCGAAGGAGAGTGGCACAGGCTTCCAGCACGCGCGTTCGGAATGCGTAGGAAAGCGCTTCTAGGACGCGCTGCAAGCTCAAGCAGGGCGCCGCGAGGATGCATGAGCGGCAGCCGTGGAAGGAACACCGGCCTGCCTGTGCTGCCAGCTTCTGCCCCTTGCCAGCTCTCCACGAGCCGTCCGGGCAAATCTGCGCGGCGTCCGTTACGGCTGACTCCTGCGTCTGCTCAGCCTGACCCAGAACTTCGGCCTGACGGCTGCCCCCCCCTTGTTCCCTCGCGTGGTCCCACGCTTCCCTGATCAAGGCAGACCGCCTGGGCATCGTCCCTGGGAGGGTTGGTGGGAATGTTTTTACCGTCGCGGCCGCAAGCGAAGGCGCAGGAGGCGTCCGAAGTCAGCCCGGGCTACGAGCCAAACTTAATTACCTAAGCGCGCGAACTAACGGCCGCCGAAACTGCCGCCAAGGGACGCCGAGGAGCGACGCCGGGGACTGAAGGCAGAGATGCAAGAGGCGCCAGGTGTGCCAGGCGGCTGAAGTGCAACCATTCCAGGGGCGAGACCAACGGGAAGGCAAACAAATTGTACCTTGTCGCGCCAGGCGCCAGAGGTAAACGAGCCACCCGAGCAAAGCACGGCATAGCGTGGGGCTAAGCAAGCAGCCCAGCGTACCTGTGTCGCATGCCAACAGTGGCAACCTCAGGCGGTTGAACAAGAAGGCTAAGCCACCCATGAGCAATCCACGTGGAGGTGCATCCCACCATTGCAAGGCAGCAGCTGCAAACACGGACAGGCTGTGGCAGTGTCTGGGGACCAGAGGCCAGGAACATGCGAGCATGCTAGCTGGAGTTGGTCGACGTGCAAAACACGGAGACGCCAGGGTTACTTCACCAGGCTCAAAGGAGCCAGCACGAACACCAACAGACGCCAGGGACTGAGGGCGAAAGCCCGGAAGCCGCAACCAAGCTGTGGTCGGCGGCAGGGCGGCGGTGGCCAGGAGGGGGCCAGACGGCGCCAGCAAGCAGCTGAAGGCCGAGAATGCCGCAGGCCAAGTGCTAGCGGCGCGGCATGCGAAAGTCGAGCGACGTCACGAAGGGGGTGCCAGCTCACCAGGGATACCAGGCCAGGCTGTTGCTGGGCGCGGGAGAAGGCCAATGTGAAAACAGCTACAGCAAACGGCCAGGGCCGAGTGGTGGCACGCTGCGCCCCGCCCCAGCAAGGTGCATCGTGTCAGGCATTGACAGCGCCGTGGAGTCTGATCCCAAAGGGCGGGGGGTCAAGCCAGGCGCAGTGCAGGGACCGTCACCGGTCGGCAGGGGTCAACTCACCAGGGATACCAGGCCAGGCTGTGGCCAAGTGCGGGAGAAGGCCAGGGTGAAAACAGACGGCCAGGGCCGTGTGATGGCACG